GCATTTCTTCAATAATCCAAAACAAAAATTGACAGAAGGGTTTTGTCTTTTATGGATTTTCTCTTATTAGTGCATGTGTGCAGTGCAGTGTTTCCACTCCTCGCGTGGGCTGGTGTGCGTGCAGACACCCGCATTCCCCTGCACCGTTGGCCCCAGCTCCTGGTCCCCCGGCCTTTCCCGGGTACGCGTTTGCAGCGCTCGGCTCTGTTCCCGGGTGGAGTCGCTGCGCATGCGCGGCGTGTCCGGGTTCCTCTTTCCGTTTCCTGCGCTCTGCTCCCCTGCCCCCCTTCTGCCTCTCCCTTCTCTCCCCATATGAGGAAGATCCGTCTTCCCACCTCCGCTTGTCTGTCTTTGGTTTTGGTGTTTATTTTTATATTGCTTTCAGTGAGTCATGTAATGGGTGTGTGTGCGCGCGTCTGTATACATGTGTGTGCACAGGCATGCACGTGTGTTCACTTCGGAGACATCTGTGCATTTTCATACCGCAAAGGATAGCCATTCTCACAAGCCAGCTTTTCACTTGAAGAAAAAGAATATCCATCAAACAACCAGCTGATATAAATTGAACTAGTTATTTGCCGCAATAAAATAGACTTTTTTAAAAGTAATTTGTACATCAATTTTAACTCTCAGCAGAAGTCACTATAAGCCAAATAGGTAACAGTAGGATCTAATGTAGAGAAATGTGAGTCGAAATACCCGGCCGCGCTCTGGTAGTCACGCAGGGGTCCTGTAATCCGCAGCACAAAGGCAGTCAGGGCGTGGTGGCCTTATGGTGGCCCACGCCTTCCGGTCAAATGTCCACACTGCAGAGAAAATGCCAGCACTGCTGAGCCCAGGGCTGGCTGACGGTGTCCCTCACTGTTTTCCCTTTCCTTTGGGACATACTGGGCACAAATGAATGCTTACGTCACCTTATGTATGTTTCCCTGTTGTGCTTTTGGTGACCTCAGCTCGTTTGAGTAGACCCGGAGAGGGCATGGAGGTTACCACTTGCAGGGCCCATCTCTGCGCCCTCACCAGAGAGGGAACTACTGCCTTCACGCAGCGAGCTGCTGCCAGCACGTTGGCGTTTTCTTCCAGACAGAGCCTGGCCTCTCACACACGAGGGGCACGCGTGGTGGGGAAGGGCTGGGAGCAGACTGCCGCGGCGCACCTCGCGCGCACGGGCCGCGCAGGAAGGGTGCCTGGAGCCAGGGGCGGGGGCGCGGCTCAGCGAGGTCCGTGGCTCCGGAAGTTCACATCTGCGGGCACTGCTGGGTTCCACCGAAGGCCAGATTGTCCGCTTTTCAGATGTCTCCAACTATGACCAGGCTTTTCTGTGTCTCATCCTGCTCTGCTTTTTTTTTGCCATCCTGAGAAATTATTCTGTTTTTCCCCCTTCTGCATACAGTTTCACTTTAGTAGAAAACTTGGTTGTTGCCAACATTTGAAAGGAAGACAAATTGAAGGTGCCTAAGGAACTCTACAGCCAGAATGAAAAGGACAGAGCTTGGCATTTTTCTGTAGCTTCAAATATTTTTTTAAGGCTGGGGAGATGGCTCAGTGGGCTGGGGAGATGGCTCAGTGGAAAAAGTGCTTTCCTGGCAAGCGCAAGGACCTGAGTTCAATGCCCAGTTCCGCAAATATTTTTTTAAGTGTTTTAAGTTTATACATTTTTTTAAGTTCTAAGTTTATATATATTTTTAAGTATATACATGTATGTATGTAATGTATTTGGTTCAAGCCTCCCTACGCAGCTCAGACTCGTAGTGTTCTTCTTGTCTCTGCCTTCCCAGTGTTGGTATTTACAGACATGTGCTGCCACGCCTAGTTTCAATGGCTGGCTTGGTGGAGGGTGGGCACTGCATGCAGTACCAGGGATCAAACCCAGGTCCTTGCAGTTGCCAGGCAGGTGCTTAGACCACCGATCTATCTTCCCCAGCCCCTGTTCATTTGTTTTAAATAACACAGCAAATGAAACACTAGGGTAAAGGCACAGCCTAGGGCAGTGGCGCGTCTCATTTTCTCACACGCTCAGTGCCCTGCATAGGAAAAGTTACACCATTACAACACTGGAGACAGCCTAAGGCTGCTAGGAGCTAGAACCCCTGGGGGCTGAGCCTGGGGTGAGGATGCTCCAGGAGGTGTCCCTCCCCAGTGTTCATTCTGGAACAATCTGCTTAGTTGGGAGGCTCCTGAGCCGCTAGCAGTGCGCCTTCACGCACTCCATGCTGGGAGAAAGATAACAATTACGTATTATTATTTTAGTGTTAGTACCAGGGATTGAGCTGAGGACCTTGCGCTTGCCAGGCAGACACTTACGCCGCTGAGCTATGTCTCTGGCAGTGTTTTACGTGTGTTGCAAGAAATGCCTCTTAATGAATAGAATGATTTGTTCTAATGGTGTTTGTAAATAGGGTCACAAGTCCGCATCTTGTACAGCAATTAACCACTAAGAAGAATATATGCAGTGTATTATTTGTTGAAAAATAAAAAATAAAATTAAATTAAATTAAAAAAAAAGAAATGCCTCTTAGGGGCCGGGGAGATGGCTCAGTGGAATGAGCGCTTCCTGGCAAGTGCACAGGCCTGAGTTCAATCCCCAGTTCCACCAAAAAAAAAAAGAAAGAAAGAAAGAAAGAAAGAAAGAAAGAAAGAAAGAAAGAAAGAAAGAAATGCCTCTTGGAGAAGTGTGAAGAAAAGGAGGAAGGGGTGTGGTTATGAAGTAGGGTGGTTCCTATGCTCATCAATACGGAAGGCAGAGGCACATCGGCCGGCCGCGTTTAATGAGGAATTCTACACGCAGGGGCGCTCGTCAGGTGCTAGCAAGATGCAGACGCTGGTCGGTTTCAGACGGGAAGGAAGTTTTTAAAAATATTGCTTGTCAGCTAAAAAGCAGTTGGTTCATAAGCAACAACACAATTAATATGAGCGTTCTGACAAGTTACTTGAGAACACAAACCCTTCTTTCTTCAGAGTAAATTAAACTACTTCTATCCAGATCTGTATGACAAAAGAGACCATTTTAAATTGTATCAGAGCTGGTGGGTGAGATAGCTTAGGGAACAGGGTTTGATCCCCAGCACCACAGGCCTTTCCTTCCCCACCCCCATGGCGTGCTGAGCTGGCCACCGAGTCCTGGCATGGTAGCGCACCCCTGTAATCCCAGTGTGGGGAGGCTGAAAACAGGAGGATGACTATGAGTGCGGGCTGCATAGTGAGACCCTTTCCCAAATACATAAATCGCATTAGACCTGCAGTCTCCTTTTTTTTTTCCTTTTATTTTCTATATTGAAGACTCATTTAACTTGTCTTGGTTGCTAATTTTAAATTTCAAAAATTTGCTTACTGTGAATGGGGCCACATTATTTGTGGGTTTTTTCATCAGTTGTATTAGGCCTTATATTTTTCTTGTGTTTAGATAAACTTCAGCCCTTTGATGAAGTGGTCTTTTTACTCTGTTCATTTCCAAAGGCGCTATCCCCTTGGTGTTTTAAAAACTCTGAGATGATTGAGTTCTGTAGAGTCCTGGTGTGTTCCGGCCTTGGTAGGATGATGCTCCGCTGTTGAGCGCAAGGCTTCCTCTCACTGTCCGGACTGTGCCTCCGAAGATCGTGGGGCCAGGGCTGCTGGGCAGAGTAGCTAGGAGTGGATGTCGGTTTCTCTTCCATGAGCACATCAGTGAAAATATTAAAGCTGTTGTCTCTCAAGTAAATGGTTTTTATTTTATTTTTTTTAAAGCAAAGGGTAATAAATGAAAACGAGACAAGAAAAAAAAGTTGCAGGATTGTCCTGCTACAATGCTATATATGGTTAGATTTCTAAATTAATTCCTGTGTAAAAAATATGTAATTGTTTATTCTTATTTTTCAAATATGTTTTATTTTTTTAATTCTATTTTTTTCTTCATATTCTGTAGGAACTCAAAGTTTAACATATCAATACTTGATGGAAAATACCTGTTCCGTATTATGTCTAAGATGTTTGATATTCACACAGTGAGATTAAGCTCAACTGCCTGTGTTGTAGGGTAATAATAATAAGCTTCTCTTCTGGAGGGTTAACAACCTAAGTTTGCAGACCAAAAATTAGAGAAAAGGAAGGGCTGCAAGGACAGCCAACATTGTGGTTTAGCCTTTCAAGATCAGTGAAGACTCAGGACATAGGAGAACCTGTACTGTAACATCATGTAACTTAGTAGTGTCCCAAATTTTCTGATCAAGGAGATTATGGTGCCGCAGAAGAAAGTGATTGATGATGTAGAGTGTGCCTAAGGAAAGTCACATGGAGAGAAAACATTCTCTCAGGCTTTCACCGAGAGCAAACTGGTCAAGCAGTAGCCGTGACTCATCCACATGGCTAACATTGACAAAGGATCTACTAACTGGTACAGGGTTTCAGGATAAATCCTGAGGGGATTTTACTGACCTTATTAGTTACAAAAGTTACATTTCTTGTTATATAGGTTTTGCTTTATCTTGGTCTTAACCATCCAGTAGAAAAGTATAAAAACAAAGTATGAAAAGTAAAGTATATTAATATGCTGAGCTGTAAAAGGCTCAAATAGTAGGCTTATTAGTCCTACTATTATGGACTACTGGACTATATTGGAATATTTTACTGAATTCACACACCTACAATATTTAAATGACAATGAAATATCCTTCTCTGACAAAACTAAACAAAGAGGATAGAAATGAATGACCATTTTGTATCTGTATATTTAAAATAGAATAGGTATACAGCTACTTTCTCTTAATTCAATGAATAGAAAGATTTGTTCTAATAGTGTTTGTGGACACGATATCATGTCTGCATTTTGTACAATGAGTAACCACTAAGACAACAATATGCATTGTATTAATTATTGAAACTGTCTTACTGATCGGTTTTGAAACTTTCATTGCTATTTGTTTCTCAATAAAATTATTAAAAAATATTAAAGCTGGTAGATAAGCGCTTAGAATCAGCGCTTTTCAAAAGAATTTTATTATAATCTATTTTTCTGTGCCACACAGGAAGAATTCAATGGAAAACCTGATTCCCTCTTTTTTAACGATGGCCAGCGAAGAATCGATTTTGTTCTTGTGTATGAAGATGAGAGCAGAAAAGAGACCAATAAAAAAGGCACAAATGAAAAACAACGGGTAAGGCTTTCCCTTTTTTCTCTTTAATTCTCTCTTTATTCCTTCCAACATAGTAAAATAGGGGAACTATTTTTATGTAAGCAGTTAAGTGAAACCAGTGCTGAGATATCATGGAGCAAACATATTTTTATTTTCTCTGCTCGCGTTTCCCACAAGGCATGTTAGCAACAAAAAAAGAAATGGGAACAGGAGCGTCCTCAGGCGCTGCCTCTGTGGGTTTCTGTGTAGCACAAGAGGTTAGCTCTCAGGCACAACTGCCTATTTGCAACTAGGTGGAAAAGCAAGCTAATAATTAATGCCAACAGGTGTGAAGGCAGCGCCCAGTGCTGCTCACCCGGGGGAGGCAGGGGCATGTGTGTGTGTTTTCGGATTCATTTCCATCACACCAGGAAGCCTTCTGTTGCTGCGCCACTGACAAGGGGCCGAGTTGGCCCTTGGACAAGCGAAGTGATTGCCCAGCGTTTTGGCCGCAGAGCCGGCAGGCGCGCAGCGCCTCCCACCCTCCGCTTTCCTCAGCCCCGGTCAGGCTGGTCACCTTTCCTTCTCCTTTGCTTCAAGTTATTTTAAGGCTGAGCCACATCTTTGTCTTGCAATATTAAGACCTGAGGGCTAGGATTCTAACAACTGCAGGGGGCTTCTTTTAGAGTGTTACAGTAGGTAAAATGGAAGGAGCACATTCCGTGTGTGACACTTGTGTCCCCTTTGGAAATCCTTCCCTCATTCTGTTTTTTTGGGTTTTTTTCCTCTAGACTTGTGCTGTGACACGTACAACCGTAACTGTTCCTGTCCGTGCCTCTTCCCTAACATGTCTTTATCTTAAATCTACTACTTTCCTCCTATTCTTCAAACCAAGTGATAAAACCTTTTGGAAAATATCACCATCAATACTGCTTTACTAATGTTTTTAAGTTCGCAAGGGGTAAGTTCACAGTATTACAGGGCAACAGCGTGAGGGGAGTCCACCTTTAGAATCGGACAAATTCTAATCTGCCGCTGTGCAGTTGGAGCACTTTGGGTTATTCACAGGTCAGCTTCCAGATGACATAAGTTTAATAATAAAGTGTATTGATTAGTGACTCGAAGATGGCGGCATCTGTGCCTGGAACACGGCCTGGGCTCTGTTCCTTGCGTCTTTCAGGCACCAGGCTGGCGCAAAGGCCCTGCCCTGGGGTACCATCACCCCAATTCCAATAGACAGGACCAGAGAGGGACAGCAGGAAGGACTGGAGATTCTTCATCACCGTGCTGTGAGTCAGTGCAGAGTCCTGGTCCTCAGAAGTCAGGCAGGTAGAAAGCGTGGTCTCCGGCAGGATAGATGGCAACTGCGTGTGTGCTTACGCAAATTTTCTTAGCAATATTATAGGTTTTTTAAAAAATATATTTTGACATCTCTGGTGACAGATTGTATCTTACAAATGGAATGTCGTATTTTCACTGGCTGAATTTCTTAATACAATCTGTGGCATCTCGGAGTTAGGAAAAAGACTTTCTAACACCTAGTCCATAGGATTATGGCAAAGATGAGGTACGATAGATATACGGAGATGTTGTATAAATGTGCAGCACATGTAGATAGTAAATAGTAATTTCGGTACCTGGCCCTTTCATTTGGTCTTGCTTAAAATAATATGCTTATATAAATAGACACAACTTTGATTTATGTAGTTTTACCACTGGAGTAAACTTGCTCAGAGTACTTTGTTGTTTTCTGTGGGCACTAGGATATGTTGTTTCATTGTAGTAACCACTACCAAATATTCATATTTGAATACCAGCAGAACTGTACTGAGACTATATAAACTAAGTTACCCAGCCCTACCTAATGCATTAAAGTATGAAGGAAACAGTTCTGGTTTTAGGCAAGAGATTTACTGCCCTGGTGAAGGGGCCCTAGAGCTACTTACATTATTAATAAATTCTGCATTAGCTTCAGACAGAAATAGGTCCCATGGTGACTCTCATAAAGCAGGAGGGGGAAAAATCATCATTAATTTGGCAATCCTTGAACTCAGGGTCTAATACACAGCACTTCAATGCTAGTTTTTATAAGCCGCACTTTGAAGTGTTAGTTTGTATTTGTGCATAGAACTTAATTTATCCCCCATCAGAATTCAAAGCTCTGCTTTGGAATCATATTTTTATTAATTGGAGAAACATTTTGAAGTTCCTTCCCGTTGTCAGCAGTTACTAAGGATTTAGTAGAATACCCAGGAGAAGCAATTTTAAAATCCTGTTTTCTTTGAAAGAAAATAAAGATTTATATGTAAATCCTAACATATAAATTTCTAAAAGCAACATCAAAGTGGACTTGGCCCGGGGCACAGGGAGGATTGTACAGCATGTTTAGGGATGGAGAAGGACAGAGGGAGTGCTGCAGGCACCAGATACTGGGGCTTTAGAGCAGCGTCTTCTCTCCAGCAAAAGGACAGATCTTTTCCTAGGAAAACATTCGAGTAGCACCTAACTCGGGCCCCTTCCGTCAGCGCGGTCACTTCAGAGGCGCCCCCTCTCCTCCTTTAAAAGCCTAAACTGTTCACATTGAGCTTTTCCATAGGAGGATTTAAGCTTGCACAAGTGCTCATTTCAGCTTGGGTTTCTTTTTTTTTAATTTCAAGTCACAAGAAAATAAAACTAAAAATGATTTAAATGCTAAAAGATTTTTTTTTTTTTTTTTTTTTTTTTTTCTGGTTTAAGAAGTAATCTGGAGATGGAGACATCTGTGGGTTAGATCATTCATTGGCTCAGTGAGGCCACCCCGTCCTTCTGCTGGGCTGTCCTGAATGCACTGGTTCTGGTTAAGCTGGCTTAGCTGGCCATAGAGTGGCTGCTGAGCTCCAGGTAGCCAGGGCAGAAAGAGGGACTGGCTCGTCTTGCCTCTGGCTCTTCTCTGAGAGACAAGAAAGATCTTCTAGAGGAGCCCTTGGAAGACTTCCCTTTCCACTTCCTTGTCTCTGCCACTCTGTTCCCAGGTCGGCCACCGAGGGCCTCCACAGCCACTGGCTGTGTCCCCAGAATCGTGCTGCTAGTCAGAACATATTCGAGGGAAAAAATTACATCCACACTGAACAGATGTAGAAACTCATTTTTGTCATCATTCTCTGAAGGGTGTTATATAGCCATTTACCCAGCGTTTCTTATTGTGTTAGATGTTACTGGCAATCTTTCGATGCTTTCCGATGGAGGAAGGAGCACGCAGATGCACCACTCAGTAACAGGGCCCCGCGCTCCCGTGGAGCTGGCCGGCCACAGACCTCCTGGAATCGGCCCCTCGCGGTCAGGGCGTCGCACCGGCAAGATGAGCGTGTTGCCTTCCTTGGCGTAGGCTGATCAGGATTGCTGTGATTTATCTTGGGAATGACCTGATCGCTGGCCCTTGAAAAGCATTCAGTCTTTTTCTTTCTTTGTATGAAACAAAAGCGAGGCTCTTCACAGATAGCCAGCAGTGCCTGGCCCCAGGCATGATCAGGGTAACTAACTAGGTTCGATCTATATCGTAAAGAGCAAAGATGGTTTAGCTAAAACAAGTCCCCATGTGTTTCTCAAGCCGCTCCTGCTCATATTTGTTAGTAGTTGCTTCTTTCTGTCTCCTTTCCCTAGAACTGCTAACAAGGAGCAGAATTGACCTATTTTGAATTTTGTTTTTTCTCACGCTTACCTTCCTTCAATCGAAATCATTTCTGACCATGTGATGTGTCTCAGTTACTTTTCTGTCAGTGCCGGGACAAAATACCCAGCGCCTACAATGAAGGAAGGAAAGGTTTATTTAGCTCAGTTTATGGAGGTTTCAGTGCATACTCGGCTGACTCCAAGGTAGAGCGGCGCATGGCGGAAGGGCAGCAGCTCATGGTGGTGGAAAAGAGCAAGAGCAAAGTGCAAGAGGGAGGAGCAGGGGCGGCGGGGCAGCGGGGGGGGGGGAAGGGGGGCAGCGGGGGCAGCGGGCAGCGGCGAGCCCCTCTCCTTTGCTTATGTTACCTTCAGGCTGTGTGCCCCAGGGTGGGTGTAGTGCTCACACCCACAGTCCCAGCCTTGGCTCATGAACGAATCACAAACTCTAGAGCAGCACCCCACTGCATGAGGCTTGCGGGGACCTCTACACACAGACCATGACCTGATGGCATCATTCAGTTGGTGGAAGCAGGAAAACCGTATACGCAGTCCTGACCATCTGTATATGTTTCTTATCCATTCCTAAAAGGTGATAGAACTTTTTTTCCTTTAAATATAGTTGGCACAGGGTCTCCCTATGCAACTTGTACTCATAGTGGTCCTCTTGTGTGCAGCCTCCCCAGCCCTGGGATTACAGACATGTGCCACCATGCCTGGTCTTGGTGGCCGGCTCTCCATGCCCAGGCAGCAGGGTACATGGAAATGTTATGTCCTTAAAGTTGAGAAAAGGTTTATGAGTAGAAGTGTACAGTTGTTCACGGTTCATGAAGATGTTTTCACAGGATAGCACTGTACATCACTACGTATCATGAGTTGGTGGTTCTGTTAGTACAATTTTACAACAATCGTGAAGAGCTTGTACATTTTTATCAGCTGTTTGCAGTTATTTTAAATACTTTTACTGTTGTCAGACGCATTTTCAATTGTGGTTTGTGGCTTAGTGTTACGTATAAAGGAAATTTGTTGGGCTTTTTTTGTCCCGGTAAGTTCTCTCTGGGGACCTTGATAAGCTCTTTGTGGTTCTGAGAGTTTCTAGGGCTTCTTTCAAGCATTTACAAGTGAGGGCTGTATTGCTTACAAAGAAGTTTTATTCTTATTTTTGCCATCTTCTGTTGCAAAAGGGGGCAGGGCTGGCTGGCATGCGGTGCTGGGGGATCGAATCACGGTCCCTGTGCTTTGCCAAGCTTGTTTCTTTTCTTTTCTTTTTTTTTTTAAATTATTTATTTATTTTAACATTTATTTTGTGTGTGTGTGTGTGTGTGTGTGTGGCCAGCTCAGCCCACCAGGGGGCGCGGCTGGCTGGCATGTGGTGCTGGGGGATCGAACCGCGGTCC